AGGAAGGGAAGAGAGGTAGGGAGAGAGAAAGAGAAAACTCCACGACATACAAATACACAACATACGTGTCAGTGTAAGATGCAACATACACAGGACGTAATTTTTTTTCTTTACAGAGCAATCATGATGTAATCCCATTTAATGGGTGAAGTGTATTGAATTTGAGCTTGATTGCTACTAATTATGTCAATGTAAGTCCTGTTTCGCCTACATTGTAGACCCAGTAGCCCAAAAGTTATTTTTATAAAATAGAATATTGGCATTCCCTTCGGAGAAGAATGTTTGTTCGTTTATAGATAGGGCTTTGTGGATTAGCGGCTCAAGAGTCATGTGGATTTAAGAGGCGAATGGTCCTCTGTAGCTGGTCTCAATCCTCAGGAGGCCCCCACCAGACGATGTCGGCTACCCCAGGAGGCTGCCAGAGCCGGCAACGTGGCCCGCTCACATAACCGGTCCCACTACCTGCCCTCGGCCCAGCCTTTGCCTTGATTTCTAAAAGACAAGGGACCACCGTCCTGAAGACTTTTCTTTCGGGACCCCCCTCTCCGTCGGATTAATGCAGGTCCTAATAAAAATGAAATGTCACACCTACGACGCCTCCCGGATCTTTTCATCTACAGACGTAAACATTTACGATAACTGTTTGACTCTTTCCGGTTATTATGAGAGAATATAATGACGAGAAGGACCTTCACAATTTTGCCAAATGAGCTTCTTCAATTCGATGAAAAGAAACGACAGTAAAGTAAACCGATATCTCGGCGGTTCATTGATATGGTCAAGTTTTTAAAAAACTTTCAACCATGAACATTTTTGTAAAAGTCAATGATCTTATATGAACCTATAGCATACTCTTAGTCGTATAATTAATTGACGTAAATTTACCGTGTGTTGGTAAAATGGGCGTAAAAACGAAATACATGTTCGTGCAATTGCTCTCGGTCTGCTTGGAGTGCAATGAACTTTTCCGGACTGACTTTGTCGCTGAAGTCTTTAGGCGCGTTTCGGCTGAACGGCATCCCCGGGTCACTTTCCCCCTTGGCGAAGTTTGACGTGCAAATCGTACTCGCTACGGGTTTAGACTAAAAAAATCGACTTTGCACAAGGACATTCGCTCAAAAACATAAAACGTATGTAGACAGAGCTGAAGATTTTTGGAGAGTCGGTATGTTGTCAGAAGAGCATAAGTCTCATTTCGTATATCCCGCGAGGTTTTTCTGCTTTAAGCTCATTCGCCTTGCCTTATCAAACCGAATACGTATACTTTCAAAACAGAACGAGATAGAAGAATATAAAATTTGCTGCGAACATTAGGGAATATTTTTAAATTAATTATACTTTTTATCTAAAGTCTTACTTGTGATGAAAAAGCTAATGCCATGAGCAGGATTCGAACCCACGACCTTCGGCTAAATACGCTGCTGATCTAACAATTTGAACTAATTAACGAGACTTCGATTCGCTCTGACACTAATTCCACATCTCAACCTAGAACCTTTCGACTATTCCTTCTTTTAGCCATATTTCCAGCCGAAGATCGTTGGTTCGAATCCCTCTTGAGACATTTGCTCTTTATCTCAACCAAGACCTTACATAAAAAGTATAAGTAATTTTAAAATATTAATAGATCAGTTATGTGTACTAAATACGTATATGGATTAGGAATATTATTGTAATTTATTGGAATAACGTATAATGGAAAATAATTTTACTTTTTATCTAAGGACTTGGTTGTGATGAAAAAGCTAATGCTACGAGCAGGATTCGAACCTACGAACTTCGGCTCAATACGCTGCTGATCTAACAATTTGAACTAATTATCGTGATTTCGATCCGCCCAGACACGAACTCCTCATCTCAACCTAGAACCTTTCGAATTTTCCCTCTTTTTGTCATATTTCCAGTCGAAGATCCTTGGTTCGAATCCCGCTTGAGGCACTTGTTCTTTATCTCAACCAAGACCTTACATAAAAAGTATAAGTAATTTTAAAATATTAATAGGTCAGTTATGTCTACTATTGGGTTGTCCGGAAAATAATGCAGGATTTTGGTATTAAACAAAAAAAAAAGAAACTAGTTACTTTAAAGCAATGTTCTTTAATCAAAATAATTTCCCATACTCTCAATACATTTCTCCCAACGTGTTGGTAACTTATTAATTCCGTCTGAGTAGAATTCAGAATTTTTAGAATTGATAAAGTCAATAAATGCATTTTCCAGTTCCGTNAATGAGTAATCCTGTAAACGTAAACAGAATATTTTATATAGATTTTTTTTAATGAAAACTTAAAATCCTGCATTATTTTCCGGACAACCCGATAAATACATATATGGATTAGGAATATTATTGTAATTTATTGGAATATATAAATTAATTATACTTTTTATTCTTGGTTGAGATGTAAATGCTAGGCGTCACGAGCGTAATTCAACCCACGACCTTAGATAAAAAGTATAATTAAATAAAATAATTAATACGTTCACTTATGCCTTCTAAATAATATGGATTAATAGTATAATATAAATATGGAATAATAATAAATGTGTAAATGAAGATTCTGAACGATGTTTTACTCTTTAGTAAAAAAAAAATCATTTACAAAATGGATTATGTATCATTACCATATTTGAATTTAGTTTTAGTTTTAATAAATAAATTTTATAAAAATAAATATTATTGGTCATTTATGATAGAATGTGGCGGTCTAGAAGAGTTGGCTTGAAAGTATTAACGTCTACATTGAACAGACCACAATTTCTCTTCTAGCTTAAGTAGAAGTTGAGTAATGACTGCGATCCATTCTGTGTAATTGGCAGCCGGGTTTGGAAAAATCTCACCACTTTTCGACTTAAGGAAACTGAAAAATTTGAAAAAACGGACATCGTACCCAAACTCCCCCTGTAAATGCCGGTTGTCAACTGGCACCTCCCAGCAATTCATTTTCCAGACGGCGTTTTCGTATTCCCACGCAATCTCAAAGTTCCCAGCAGTGCTTCCATGATATCTGGAACACAAAGGTCACGCAGAACAGGTGCACACAACTGTCAGGCGGAGCCATTTTTTTGTACGGCGGGGAGGGCAAAATTGAAATAGTTGCGTGCGACACGTAACATATTGCGCATGGATTCACTGTCGTGTGAGTGTTTTATGTGATGTATACGGAGTAAATAGCCCTGATATTAGGGCAGTTTTTTACAGGATTGAAAGGGATCAGGTAGTCGAATGCCACCAAGGCATCACTTAGTGCTACCAGAAAGACTTTTAGTAGTTTCTCATCGTATCGTGTGTCTAGAGTAAAATAAAAACTAATGTGCTCCTTAATAAAAATGAGAAAAATGGAAACTAGACATAGAGAATTTAATTGTAACATAAAAAAAAGGCCAAACGTATATATCGGGTTGTCCGGAAAATAATGCAGGATTTTAAGTTTTCATTAAAAAAAATCTATATAAAATATTCTGTTTACGTTTACAGGATTACTCATTNAACGGAACTGGAAAATGCATTTATTGACTTTATCAATTCTAAAAATTCTGAATTCTACTCAGACGGAATTAATAAGTTACCAACACGTTGGGAGAAATGTATTGAGAGTATGGGAAATTATTTTGATTAAAGAACATTGCTTTAAAGTAACTAGTTTCTTTTTTTTTTGTTTAATACCAAAATCCTGCATTATTTTCCGGACAACCCAATATGTTACTCTCATCGTTAATTAGGTAAAATATTTTTTACTTAAATATAACTTTTTGTTCAGTTATAGGCTTTATTGTCCAGACTTCAGTTTATCTCAGCCAAAACATCTTTGAATCCATTTTTAAAAAACCATATTTTATTTTCCACTCTGTTGCATGTTCTTTAGGATGTCAATGCATGAACATTGGCCGACAACCGCAACTTTCTCAAGAAATTAATTAAGGTTTTTGTTTGAGATAAAAAGTCAATGTCACGAGCGGGATTCGAACCCACGACCCTCGTAAAGAAAACAGCATTAGCTTGGACTTTTCCAAGAATTTATTACATACAGTAATCATTGTAATTATTCTTGCTTTGCTTTATTGTGTAGTTAAAAAACATTCTGATGGAAGCTGCAATACATACTACATTTAAAAACATAAAAGCTACTATTTTTTCATTCTGCCAAGCTCAAGTATTTTTTTATAATCGATATTTTTAAACATTTTTTTAAAAATCTTTGTAGGTCAATGAAGTTTAACCCTTAGTGTGCCAATATTTTTTTTCTAGACTGTTGACATATCCCACATCATAAAAATGCTTTAATCCTGACGATATAACACAAGTGGAATAATTGAATTGCGGCTTAAAGGTCAACATTCCACTATTCCAGCCGTCTAACCCTTCACTGCATTCTTATTCCGTCCGTTCTCCTGTTTAATCTCGTAAAAATTGTTTCCACCCGTAATGTGGAAAAAGCCGATAGGAGATGGGGTCAATAATACCACCTTGTAATTACTGGCTCTCCTTCCGACCGGCCGGTAATGATAATGGGCTAAGAAATCATGGACGCACCTTGGGAAAACGGCGTTTTAAAGTGGAGATGGATGTCCCATGGACTACCATGTCCCAGGTTAAAAGCCTAACGATATAATGGGTTCGCTCTTTTTCCTTTGGGACGTGGAACAAATTAAGGATGCTACATTACATAAAAACAATGGGCAAATAATTACCGCTCGTTTAACGAATGAAAAAGGAAGGCGTAGGATTTACTGAATATTAAATCTATTTCGTTTCAAGGATATCCACTACCTCTCTTTAAATGCGACTGCCGATATATCATCAGCCTTATTAACATGCAACCGTATTAGAAAAAATATTAACAATGACAATTTGCTGATATTAAGTTTACCTTTTAAAGAAGCAGTTGTTCCTGAAAATATCCCAGTTCACATCAATATGTCCTACAATCAGCATCATATATATTTTTTAATATAGTGAAATTGATATCGGTGATTTTAATTTTTTTTAAATTATGTTACAGATACATCCATAGTAAAGAAAAACCGTTCAAATGCGGAGAATGCGGAAAAGGATTTTGCCAATCTAGAACGTTGGCCGTCCACAAGATCCTGCACCTGGAGGAATCGCCCCACAAGTGTCCAGTCTGTAGTCGCTCATTCAACCAGAGGTCGAACTTGAAAACCCATTTGCTCACCCACACGGATCACAAGCCCTACGAGTGCGGATCGTGCGGGAAGGTTTTCAGGAGGAACTGCGACCTCAGGAGACACGCTTTGACACACGCTGTGGGTGACGTGCCGCCGGACGTCATCTCCGATTCACCCGAAAACCTCAGCGGAAGGGACGGCGACAGTTCGAGGAGCGGATCTCTGGAAAGATGCGAACCCCTTTCCTACAGACGATCCTCCCCTTCGCCGAGACGGGAAACTTCTCCGTCGCCTGGTCCGTCTTACAGGATGCACTCTCCTTCTCCTATTCCTATGTTTAGACGGCCTTCTCCCCGCCCTCCTTCGCCACGGAGAAGATCTCCCTCGCCGCAGATCAAATGCCACCACCCGACCGAAAACTACACTATGAGGCCACAGGTGACGGTCAGGAAGGACCTGATCGCGCCAGGAACGTCCCACGGCTCTTCCGTCTTCAGGAGACCAGCGCCGGAACCCCCCGACATTGGGTGCTCGTCCTGGGTCAAAAGGGAAGATATCCCGCAACCGGGTCCTTCGGATCAACAACAACCTCCTGCTCCTCCTCCCGTCCCGCATCCGCCACCTCCCCCTGTCAAAAAACAAGGATTCAGCATAGAAGAAATTATGAGGCGCTGACGACTTTTCATGTGATATTCTCACAACCTTCGTACGCTAGTCCTTAACGCAAGCTCAGGGGGCCATAAGTCAAAAATTATAAACGTGAAATATAACAACATATCAACGAAAGAAAGAAAAAAATCCTTATTACTTCCGTGTGGTTATTTTTCATTATAGCATTTAAGCGACCACCCCGAGGTAATAATCCTATTTCTTTAATATGTCCCCCTAGCTTTAAAAAAAAAAGTGGTTCTTCATTATTTCAGATTTTTCTGTTTATTAATGACCTTCCAGGCTGCAACAAGTGACCAGCATCAACCGTCGGTTGGCATACATCTAATATATTACATGTACATAAAATTATTTTTTGTTGATTATGCACACTTTGTGGACTTTGTTTTTGGACTATAGCGGTGATCTCACATAGCGACGAAAGTCGAGTTTATATTGACTTAATTTTGTTCAATTTTTTTTTAGTAATCATGTATATATGCTATTAATGCATGTTAATATGTAAAATTATTCAACGTTTCATTCGAAACAGTTAGTTTGGAATAAATGTGTATATGTAAGAGGAAATTGTGAATTGAAAATCATTCGTTCAATACAGATCAAATGTATTGTTTATTTGATCACTCTCACAGACTTTGCAACAATGGAAACAAAAAAATATACATACATAAATCAATTCAAATATAGTCAAAATCATATTTACTTTGCCCTAACTTAATGTTTTATTTGAAAAAGTACAAAAAATTATTAACAAAACAAAGGCAATTAGAATGTGCACTTGCCCATTTATAAATAAATAAATAAAGAACGAGAGATTCTCAAGTTATTGGGTGAATGTCCCAGTACGGTATCAACAATGTTATGTATTTTATGTTTATGTTTAAATAGACCAACGCTTTTAAATAATTTATGTAACTATTATACTGCATATGTATATACTCCATATATGTATATGCACTGAATTCTTTCTCGCTTGAACGGCGAGTGTTTCTTTTTGTTCGTTTTAAATTGCACAAATACAAAGATTATATGTAATATTTACATCACCTGTATTTTTATTAGAGAAAGGTGTAAAATGGCAATTTTTTAAAATGAAAATATGTATATGAGCATATTTATAGATTAGTTTAATAATCTTGTTATTATTATTTTTAAAGTTTGATTCATTCAGAGTTTAGAGCTCCAGGTGCAAAAGATGCCTTGTAAATAGAAATAATCTGTCGTAAATCAGAAAAATTTAACATGTATTATTTTTTATAAAGAATAAATTTAAGATAGTTTTGAAAAAAAATTTGTTTCTTCAACCCTTAAGTCTTGAATCAAAAAAATTGGTTTACTCAACCCTTAACATTTATTTTCTTTAAAACACAGTTCAGGACGAATTGTAACTTTAGCATATAAAATACGTATTTGTACAAACCGTGGGAAAAATGCCTTTAAAACAATCCAGGTTAAGCCAATCAGCACAAAAAGAAATAGATTTTTAATATATGGTTTTTAAAGTGCAATTTGGCATATAGACCGTTTTAAATAGCCACAATTTGCATATAAATGTACATTTATATAAAAACTGTACAAAGAAAATCACTCATACGTCTTAATTCTGTATAATAATGATTGTATCCGTCTTGTAAAATCTTCACTCATCTCAGACCGGCAGTTTTTTTCAATATTTAGTGATTAATTGATAAGTGAAACTTAATCGGCCCAGTTTTTATTAAATGATCTCTCAACTTTTGTAATATTGTCTAAACAACATAAACGGCGAGCAAATCATTTTCATCGCGTCAGCGCACACAGGGAAGCCATAAAGATCCAAAGTAGAATAGTTAAAAAATTTTAAAAATAGACTGATGGACAAAATTAACGCACCACCCTTAAATCTTAATGTATTCTGGCTTATTTTGCATAACAAAAATAAGTTTGTTGTTGAAATAATGCATTTAAAAACAAAATGTATATTACCTAATTCTAAAAATGCAATTATTGAGTAAACAAAAAATAAAATAAAAATAAATAAACAGAAAATTCAAAAACAAATAAATATGTATTTACACCTTCGGCACGAATGACGTCCGTTAAAAGCATTTGCATTCCTTGGAAAACATATCTGGCTAAAAAAACTTGAGGAATTATTTCCCGAGAACAGCCGTTTCCAACTCTTCTAGTTTTTTGGGATCTGCATGTCATCGCTTAATTTGGTCCCAAATGTGTTCGGTTGGGTTCAAATCTGGACTTAGAGGAGGTCACATCAAGCAATCAATTCCAGCCTAATTCAGGCAGTCATCCACAATACATGGCACTACATGTTCTTCGATTATGTCTCGTAAGTACCTCTATGAAGTTTGAAATCTTGCTCTCATAACAGCCAATTCGGTCCTGCCGTCCAAGGAAATGCCACCTGAGGAACCATGCAACATGAGAGAAGAACCCTTCCTATTGTATACTGATTTTCCTGGACACTTCGCGCTGGTTGTTTCCTTCTCTAATAACGTTATGATCCCGACACTGTCATACTCAAATGCCTGACTGGAGCCTTCGAAAAAGGTTTAAGAATAAGAATAATTTATTTAGAAATCGTGAGATGCGGTCTGGTGTGATGTAGGTTTCAGAAAAACATTTTCTTTATCGTGCCAACGTTTCTATATTTATTGAGATCATATTCAGGGCCTGGGATTTACAAACCTTGTTTACATATAACAATTACATTTTGGATGTGGAAAAGTGAATTTATACAATGCAAAATATATATATATTTTTTATATTCAATCAACCTACATCTGAAATCTACATCACACCAGACCGCATCTCACGATTTCTAAATAAATATCGATTAACGGTCACTAATCTCCACACAAATTAGAATAATATTAAATGAACATTCGAACCCGACATACTGTTGCGAACCCTCGTAAAAAAAAAAAAAAAAAAATTATCTGAATGCGATCTTTGGGCGAAGTAAAATGGCATGGTATAATGCTACTTTTGTCCAAATGGGATTCATTAGTACAAAAGTAAACAAAACATTATTTACTGTTTATTTTGACTATGATAGCTCCTTATTAGTTGCAGCTAACGGGCTTAATTTTAAACTAAATAAATTGACTGGTGCGTTAAATTTGTCCATCGGACTATTTTGGTTGAATATGGAAGAAGTAAAACAATTTTTGATAGACAGGACAACTAGCTACGTTCAACTACCAGTTTTGAGCATCGTGGACGAGAGGTCAGACCATTACTGGACCTGGTACAAAAATAAAACAACAATTATTAATATTCTTTTCTAATGGCTAGGGGTGTTAATACAAATCCTGACGCTGGATAGTGATGTATATAACGTACATGATACATGTTGAGGAGCACAAGTCATGTTTTAAACGTGTCAAATAATGAGCAAAGAAGATTTGAAAGACAGAAAAAGGTTTACGAATAAGAATTATATAATTATATTAAATGAAATCAACGAAGGGAAAAAATTAACAGAAAGCGATCTTTGGGCGTACCAGAATGGAAGGTCATAACTTGTTATGAAAATGGTATTAATCAATACGATAATTAAAAATAAATAAAAGAAGTAAACAAAGCATAATTTACTGTTTATTTTGATTGTTTGAGTTAATTTATTGTAATGATTGTAATTTATTAGCGTGAAAGGAAGGGGCTGCCTACAGCCCCGTCCCGAGGAATATCGAAGACTCTGGGGTGAGTGTGTGATGTCTGGGGAGCAAAAGTAATTTATTATCGTGAAAGGAAGGGACTGCCTATAACCCCGTCCCGAGGAATATCGAGTACTCTGGGGTGAGCGTGTGATGTCTGGGGAGCAAAAGTAATTTATTATCGTAAAAGGAAGGGGTTGCCTACAGCCCCGCCCCGAGGAATATCGAGTACTCTGGGGTGAGTGTGTGATGTCTGGGGAGCAAAAGTAATTTATTAGCGTAAAAGGAAGGGGTTGTCTACAACCCCGCTCCGAGGAATATCGAGTACTCTGGGGGAGTGAATGTGACCAGTCTTTTATGTTAGTATTGTATGTTGTTCATATTTTGCTCTATTGGAATGAATATAATTTAAGCATGAAAGGAAGAGGTTATTTACCCCGTCCCGAGGAATATCGAGTACTCTGGGGTGAGTGTATGACGTCTGGAGAGTAAAAGTAATTTATTAGCGTGAAAGGAAGGGGTTGCCTACAACCCCGCCACGAGGAATATCGAGTACTTTGGGGGAGTGAATGTGAGCAGACATCTATGTTTGTGGTAATGTATATATATATACAGGGTGAATTGCTACTCGTGCTACAAACTTCTCCAGTAGATTCTTCACCCTAAAATGAACAAAAAAGTTCATATTGTCCATGGTCCGATTCTCANTAATATATATATATATATATATATATATATATGTATTGTATATTTTGTTTCTATTCTGTATTGACAACCTGAGGTACAAACGAGAGCCTAGCATTCTAGAACATCAACGTAGTTTTATTTATTAATCAGTAACCAGAGCGAGACGTCGCTCAAATGGCTGCAGTTTAAAACAAAATACTCGGGAAAGAAGAAAACAAGAAGAAAAACACACAGAGGGCCGGCGATGACCTCAGCTGTTTGTCGTCCCATAAACTTCCCAATTTATATATATACTGTAGCTAATGTAAAAAGAAAAAGATAATGGCTTTAATTTTAAACTAAATATATTGAGTGGTGCGTTCAATTTGTCCATAGTGTACATGTATTTTGAATTGTGGGCTTTAGTTTTTACTGTTTGTCGTGTTTGTAGGAGGTCTCCGAGGAGAAGAACAAATGCCGCACTGATCGACATTTCATAATATTGCGTCCGTCTATTCTCGATGTTAACTTTCCTTTATAGACGTTTTGGTTTCGCTATAATCAGATAAGCGGCTCATAGACGGTCAATATTATTGTACAATATAGATTGCACAATAATTTGACGGTTGCCCCTTAACGTTCAATAATATTGTACAAAATTTTGTTTGTGCAATGAACTTGAATAGTTTGAAGGCGATATTGAAGTTTGTGCAATATTTTGTTACTATTTGTTGTACTTCACAAACTGACTGATATTGCGCAATAATGCCAACAGACGGTGCAATATTTTCCAGGTTGTACAATATATTTTCAACTTTTCGTCAATCATTAACAAACTTGTGCAATAATATTGATCGTCTATGAGCCGCTTAAGGAATGCAGGTTTTCAGTTAAAAAATAAAGGAATTAAATATCGGTGTTATGGCGTATGAAAAGGGTTAACAATATCTTTCCCATCGTGGAATATGCTGTCTGGCGTCGGCCATAGTGTACAAAATAGTCATTATATATTTTTTTTGAAGTAAAAATAATAATTTAGTTAAATAATGGGTGCAGTATGGGGGACGTGACTTAATTTGTTAAATTAAAAATATGATCATAATCCTTTTGTTCTGGTGATGTTTACTTTTTCCTCTAATAGATTGATAGATGTCAATGTTTTGGACGTAGTGTAAAAGAAAAAGAAATTATTTGTGGATATTGCTTATCAAGAATTTAACTGTTTATGTGTTCCTTCCGCAAACACTTCCTGGGCGTTAAAAATGTACTTCACGTTTATCGTGAACTCTGTTGCGATCTCAGCGTGCGGGATCTCATTTTTCGTTTTTGATTATATTTCCGTTATTCGATATTAACTCCGTACATCATATGATTCGTTAGAAAATCTCCTCCGGAGAGTGAGAGCGTTCGTAAATTACTCAACCCTGTATTTGTCCATTGACATAATTTTGGTTTACACTACCCTAAGATCCGTTAAGACTTGCACTTAGAAAGGTGAGCCGTAGTACAATTTTTTTTTCAGAAGTTGTTGCATGGATTTGCATGAGATCTCTAGACTGCTAGGAAGTTCAGATGATGTATGTATCAGGCGTACAATCGGCCGAGATGCCGTAGGCAATACCAGTTCACGTTTGATACGATGCCCTTTGGGTTCGTTCCTTCTCCCCGTCTTCTCACTTTCCCATTGGCCCGACTATTTTTATTCGTCTAATAAGATCGCTACTTATCTCATTTCGTTTTAGAATCTTGGAAGAAGTACAATTATGAGTAAACGTAGTTCAGGTTTTCTTTTCGTCCCATTTTGTCTGGGTCGGAATGGGTAAATTCAATCGCCCTTTTAATTTTATGCCGGGGGAAATTGTAATTTCTAAGACCTAGTTACTTCTACATTCCCATAACTTTCAGAAAAAGTTAGTTGGATTGAAATATCAGGAATAAACGCCGTGTTTCCGCCGGGCTTCCATATCGCCAGCTTAAGACTGTAATGATTAATAATAATAGTAAATTAATAAGTATGCATGATGGTCTTGTACATATATGATACATCTCGTTAATATTAACTCTTCTAGGGTATTAGGACCTGGGTTTCGCCGTCGTACTCCTCCCTTAAGTTGTTCGACTAGGTTCAAATCTGAACTTCGAGCTGGCCAAACCAAGCACTCGATTCCAGCCTCATCCAGGTAGTCCACAATACGTGCTCTCTGGGGCCTGGGATTATCCTGCTTTAGCGAGAATCTCTCACCGATGTGGGGGCAAATGGCACTACATGTTCTTCGATTATATCTTATAAGTACTTATGGAAAGTTTGAGATCCCCTCCCACTACAACCAATTCGGTGCGGCGTCAAATGAAATGCACTTATTAGAGATTAGTTTACTAAGGCTTCTTCTTATAGTCCTGGGAGAAATTGATATATTTCGGACTTGTCTTATCAGATTTCTTATCTCATTTCCCGTAATGTTTCGGTTTCGTAGAGCTTGAAGGATGAATCTATCGTCTATCTCGTCTGTAGACATAGGTCAACCCTGGCCTGGCCTTCCACTGTGAAGCCATGTTTCTTCTGAAGCGTCGAAGAACCCTTCCTACTTTCTACGTAGAGTCGATGTTTAGGCGTAGCAGGATGGAAGGGCGTAATGCTACTTTTTGTTCAAATGGGATTAGTACAAAAGTAAGTAAAGGAAGTAATCAAAGCATTATTTACTTTTTACTTTGACTTCGATAGCTCCTTACTAATTTAGAAAGATGATGGATTTTATTTTAAACTAAATTGATTTGAGCGTTAAATTTGTCCATCAGTGCATTTGACTGCAATCCATATCATCAAATACATAAAAAACGAACTAACAGCTTTTTTAAATATATTTAATTTGAAATAGTAATAAAATTATTGAATTTTTCGAGCTATAAAAAACAATAAAAACATTAGAGGTTAGAATAAAAACCCCAGGTAGATTGATTAAAAACGTAGGTAAGTAATAAGTAAGTTTTCACAAGTAACTAAAGATTAATTCCCGCTATCCCCTGCTAGAACCACAATTATAGCTGAATGCTCAAAAGTAACTTATCTTCTTAATTTAACTCTTTTTAAAATTTACAAAAAAATCTGTTGACAAGGTTGGTTCGCACAACACACGTCTAGTATATAATCCCAGGTCATTGCATCTCTCTTTATAAGTTATGTTTTTTTTTTGTTTCTATAAACCTATTACGGACAACCCTCGAGAATCACCCACCTGGGTGTTGGAAGTATGGGGTAAGACCTCTCTGTCTCATTTACCCCAGGGTTGGCCTTCTGGTCATTTCAGCCCCCAACGCAATCAGTTCCTAAATCCATTCACACTCTCACTCCCTCTCAAATACACTCTTTCCTATTTACATATCACTCAGTTAGTGTGGTAAAGGAATGTCGATTACTACTACATAACCATCTTAATTCGGGGGGGGGGGGATGGAGTACTCAATAACCCCCCATTGACCATCTCACGCTACACATTCACTCTAATAAATACATTCTTAATATGTTTATATAAAGCGTGTATCAATTTCTATAGTCCACCCATTTATTCGGAAATGATTAACTTCAGAGAGAAAATGGTTTTATACAAACACCAAGTTAATTTTGGCTAAGAATCAAGTGGTGGTAACAGAATTAACATAACTTATCTAGCTAGGAAATGACTCTAACTTTGTTACTTTTATTGCACCATTCGATTCTAGAGCTTATTTTATGGCACCTTTACTGAAAGGAAAATTTTGATAGGTTCGGCCATTTTTGAGTTATTCCCGACGTAAGACCCGTGAGGGGGGTATGCTTTTTGTAAGAAGATGGCTCTCCCCGTTTATTTCGAAAACGATTAGCATTAGTAAGTTAATTTAGGATAGGAATCTTCCCAGAATAGGGTAGCGATCATGGGGTTGCTTTTACACATAGCTTACATTAATTTTTGAAAAAAAAGAACTCTGCCCAGCATAAACAAAAGCAACAAGAATCTCTTCTCTGCGCTTTTTGTTTTTTTCGGAAAACAAAACATGAAATGAATACTCGGGTATACATTATTGTGCGATAGAATCCCAGCTAGATGAGAAAGTTATGTTAAATCTGTTACCGCGATTCCTAGCCAAAATTAACTTGGGGTTTGTATAAGACCATTTTTTTCTAAAGTTAATCATTTTCAAATTAAATGGGTGGACTG